TCCGCCTGGTGAACTTCCAGGAAAGGCTTTTCTTCCTGTGAGAAAACAGAGGTGTATGCTGGGGCTCACAGATCCTTGTTAGGGTTTCGGTCCCTTTGACGGGTTATTGTCACAGAGGGCAGGAATCTGGGTAAAGCTGCTCTTTTAGATTGAGCACAGTGGTTAAGAGAGAGCCTCGACAACCAAACTCTCTGGCTCCAGGTCTGGCTCCGCTCCAGGCTGGCGACATGACCTCGGGCGACACAACTCACCTTTCTCGGTCCATGTCTCTTTATGCAGAATGGGAGAAGTAAAAATAGCACCTGCCTCACACGGCTGCTGTAAAGACTAGACCTGCCAGTGCACACACGGTGCTCATACTCAGTACTCACCATCTGCAGCTCCCAGCCCAGGTGGACCCTCAGCGACTTGACAAACATGTGAAGGAAGCGGCCCAGCAGGAAGGCCAGGCACAGCAGTGAGGGCCAGTAGAACATGACAGTCTCGTACTTCCCCAAAAACTGCAACAGAAGCAGAGCATGGAGCCCGGGCTCTAGGCGGGGCAGGGCCAGACTGCCCGGGAAGCTGTAGGACAGGAATCTGCCTGCCGGGCCCCGCTCTCACCAAGCCCACCTTCCCAGGGCTTGGCGGTCAGTGATCGATGTTCTGCTTCCCCAGCCCCACACCCTCCCTGAGCAGTGGGCCTAGAGTCCAGCAGCCCTGGGTGTGAATCCCAGCACCCCCATTCTTTAAAAATTTATTTATTGTTTAATTTACATCCAAGTTAGCATATGGTGCAAGAATGATTTCAGGAGTAGATTCCTTAATGCCCCTTACCATTTAGACGGTCACCCCGCCCACAACCCCTCTAGCAATCCATTTTGTTTTATAAGAAGGGCTTTCACAGCTTTTTCTGATTAGTTATTAAATGATGCTTTTGGAAAATATATACGACAGAGAGAAGGAGAGAAAGAGGGGTGAGGAGGGGAGACAGAGCAGAGGGTTGCAGATGAGAGAGAGGGAGAGACATGCGGAGAGAAGGAGAAACAGAGAGGAAGGAAGGAAGGAAGGAAGGAAGGAAGGAAGGGAGGAAGGAAGGAAGGGAGGAAGGAAGGGGGAAGGGGGGTCCCATAACTGCTATCATGTTGGCAGCAACACAAGTTCCTGGGAATACGGGTCTCTCAAAATGGTGCTCATAGTTTTTCTATGATTTTAGTTCCATTTTAATGAAAAAAAAAAAAGTGGGTTTTTTCACTGTTTTAAGACAAACAATATTGTAACTTATTTTTCACAATTTACTAGTTGGTTTCATGTTTTTTATGTTTCCAGAGCACTTGCCCCCATGGGGAGTAGGGTTTTGATGTTGTGATGTTTGGGTGTGGGACACAGACATGCTGAGATGTGGGGGCTCATATCTCCCCTTCATCTTCCTCTCCAATATATGTTCACCACTTAAACATCAGATATCGCCACTGCCAATATTCCAGTGTCTTTCCTCTGCATCTACCCTTACATCTCTATCTGTTATAAATTGATATTATACCAAATACATAGGTCTGTCTAGATCGTAATCATCTCCCCATGTGGTTATGAATTATTCGCAAACATCACTTTTAATGCTGCATAACAGTACACTATTTAGATGAATCAACTTTAGAGTCTCTCCTAATATTAGGACATTTTAGCCTGTTCAACATCTCATTTTTATATCTAATGTTTCCATGAACATTCTTCATTTGAGAACATGAAGTGAAATCTTTATTATTACCTTAGTCTGGGTTCCAGTTCCATGATTTTTAACTAGTAAGTCCCGTTAGCCCCTGAGTCTCACTTTCTTACCAGTGAACTGTGGAGGTACTAACACCCTTCAAAGTGCCTTGAAGCACCTTGAACTATGCAGTAGTTAATTTGGGGGACTGAGCCTAGAACACCCAGCACACTGCGGTTCTTAACATTAGTGATTCTGAGCACAGAAGTGAGGCCCTGCCCTCTCTTTCAATTAACCATGAATGTTCTGAAGTTCAAAAGAACCCCAGGAAGATTGGAAGCTCTCCAAGACACCAAAGAAAATGCCTGTGATCTGGAATTTCAGGCACTGTGAGCAGAGTGAAGGAGGGCATCTTTTTGGGGAGAGGTATGCCAGAATGTTCTTAATCCCAGACCAGAGATGCAGAGAGAAGTCCCAGCCCCCAAGTTCATTTTCCAGTCCAGCTCCCCCATTCTCCATCACGCCCTGTAATCCTCCAAGGTTACTCAAGTCTGGGAGAGGTTTTGGCAAGGCTCCTGGCCCAGGTGACCTCCTGGTGTTCCCCCTACCTGCCCAGTAACCCTTATAGATGCAGTGTGACTCAGTCTTTCATCTTTTTCCTTTTTCTGGTGTACAAGGTTAAACGGATGAAATAGTTTCCCCCAATTCTGAGGACAATGCATGATAAAGCTGGAATGTTCATCCAGTCTGAGACTTCCATTTTATAGACAGAGAAACTTAAGCTACATGAAGAAGTGGAAAGAAATGAGCTTTGGAGGGTGTCTGGGTGCCTCAGTTGGTTAAGCATCCAACTTCAGTTAGGTCACGATCTCATGGTTTGTGAGTTCAAGCCCCGTGTCGGGCTCTGTGCTGACAGCTGGCAACCTGGAACCTGCTTCAGATTCTGTGTCTCCCTCTCTCTATGCCCCTCATTAAACATTAAAGAAAACATTAAAGAAAATTAGGGGTGCCTGCATGGCTCAGTCAGCTAGACATGTGACTCTGGATTTCGGCTCAGGTCATGATCTCACAGTTCGTGAGTTCAAGCCCGACATAGCACTCTGCACTGACAGTGTGGAGCCTGCTTGGGATTCTCTCTCTGCCCCTCCCTCCCTCTCTCTCTCTCTGTCTCAAAATAAATGAACAAACTTAAAAAAGTTTAAAAAAAAAAGAAATGAACTTTGTAGTCAACCAGACCTGGTGTCAACTCTCAAATCTGTTATTTCTTAAGAGTTACTTAATAAACTTGGGCCTCAGTTTCCTCACCTGTAGAATAGGTCTGCTGAGAGGTTCCCTACCTCGAGAGGCTGCTGTGAACATCAACTGAGAGAACATCTGTCTGTGAATGAGCATCCTGATGAACATAAGATGCTATACAAATGGAAGCATCATGAATGGCTCCAGCTCTCCTTTCGGTCATACGAAGGAGCTGAAGCCCAGAGAGTGGCAGAGGCTTGTCCAATGTCACGCAGCAAACTGGTCGTGGTGAAGGACTGAATGCTCTAAACATAGTTCAGCAGGGACTCACCTGCCCATGGGGACACTGTATGATGTAAAGGATGGTGACAGCAAACCTGTAGGACAAAAACAAGGCTTGGAGCACTGTGGTCCCTCCCAGCACAGCCCCTGGGAAGAAGCCCAGATCCCATCAGCCTGGAGCTACCTCCTCTTTTCTTCCTCCTTGGGAGGGCTGGTTGCCAGGCCTCTGTGTACACTCCACCCAGACTGAGCACCCTATTTGTGCCGAAGTGCACACACCAAATACACTTAACATGTCCTTGTATAGGACACAATGCTGGAATCCATACAGCGGAGCACAAAGACCCTGAGTGATCTCCTCCTCCCTGCCCTCATGGGACCCCAGAGAGGGAAAGGAATTTGTCCAGAGTCACACCCAGAGCCAGGACCAAGGCTCAGGTCTCCTGACTGGTGTTGATGCTCCTTCTGGTGGGACTGGCCTTGTCTGGAAACACTGCCCTGAGGAATGAGCCTCAAGGCTTTAGTCCCATGAGACACACACTCCTGGCCATAGTCAAGCTTGATTCATCTCCCAAGATGCACAAGCTGCTGACTGATTCCCACCACCCATTCCTCCCCAGGTCAAAGGTTTGTCAGAGGCCGGAAGATGGTATTACCCCAGGTCTAACCCCGGATACCCTCTCTTTTAATTTTATAAAGCAAGCTGTTTACAAACTTAAGAATGGTAGCCATGGTGTGTCAGGTGCTGGTGAGCCCCCTCCAGTGGCCCACACACTGGGCCGGAGGACCCCTGCCTCACACAAAGTGCTGCAGCAGGAGAACCAGCTCAGTAAGGGGGACAGGGGCTAGAAAGCAGAGTGCTCGTGGGAGGACTCAGTCAGCAAGGATTCCTGGGACCGGCTCCATGCTGGTTCTGGGGCCAGTGCTGAGAGCACAGAAATCAACAGGAGGGTCAAGAAGTTCTCCATCTGTGGGGCTGGTGATCCATGAAGGATGAGCATGGATCTGTCAATGGACCAAGTCAGGGAAGATAACCCACAGGGGAGAATAACAACATATAGGCAAAGAGGCCAGAATGCATGATCCACAAGAGTCCATCTTGTTCTCCAGTGTTTTCCCTGGCCCACAGCAGGGATATAACGGCATGTTTGCTGAGTGAATAAGCAGGTGGATGAAGGAACGCAGGAGTCTGGTGTGACTGGAGGTGTGTGCTAGAGACTGTTAGGGATGGACAGACAGGGGAGGCCAGACTGCAGTGGCCCCAAATGCCAAGTTAAGGCACATGCACTTTCTCCTGGGCTCCCAGGGGAGACATGACAGCACAGAGAAGAAGTGTCCAAATGGGTCTCCTACATCCCCCAGTGGGACCGTGGGCAGTTGACAGAAAAATAAGTTTTCTACATCTCCGACTTCTGGAATATTCTAACCGCGAGTGGCCTGTGAAGCAGGAAGAATGCCTGACCTCCTGCAGCCTTACATGCAGTCCCAGGGAGAGGCCACTGTGGGACCTGGGACCAGTCACTCCACCTGCCCATCCTGGGCCTCAGTTCTGGGCAAAGTTGCCCTCCAAGGGGGGCTCTCGGGTCACCTCCAGCCCTTTGTCCAGAGTGCAGCCACGGCAAAGGAGTCACAGGAGGGCAGACACTCAGCGTCCGTCTTACCAGATCAGAGAGTAGCTGAAGCCAAGGATGGAGCTGACCAGCCGGAACTCCGACGAGAGGCAGGCAAAGAAGGGGAAGTGAGACAGGCCGACTTCCGTGCCTCCAACCAGAAGCACAAAGGCTGGGGGAGACAGGGCCAGAGATCCTGTGAGCTCTCTTCTCACAGGCTCGGGGGTGTTGCAACAAAGATACAGGGCTTTACGCCCACTTCCTGTCACAGGTCTCAGGTCCCAAGGAGGTGAGTGGACAAGCCCCAGCTCGGTAAAGAGGAATGGACGAATGTCTTTCATTCTTGCAACAGACCCTTCCTGGGACCTGTTCCACGTCAGACCCTGGCTAACTATTGAGATGAAGAAGATTTGGTCCCTGCCCTTGGCTAGCTCACACTGTGATGTGCAGAGACAGGCCCCATAAGTGGACAAACAGCAATCACTGAGACTAAGGCCACCATAGCAACATGAAGAGTGGTGATGTGTGTGTGTGTGTGTGTGTGTGTGTGTGTGTGTGTGTGTGTACAAAACTTATAACTATCACATACTCTCTAAACAAGGCAGTGATAAGATTCATTCTGCCACTGACTAGCTCTCAGAGGATCTAATAAGATCCAGGAAAACCTACTCATGCAAGAGGATCTTTACAAAGTGCCTGCTTTGAGCTGGGTCTGGGGCCAGGCACTAAGGCTGCAGTTGGAATGAAGAAGTCTCTTGCTTTCTGAGGTGTTTACTGTCCAGTAGAGAAGACAGGGAGGAAGGTGAGTGCTGTGTTAACAGAGGCATATTCAATCTGCTGTGGGGACAAGGAGAGGAAGCCACTGACTTCACCTGGGGTCTGGGTCGGGGAAGGGAAGTGGTGACATACAACAAGGCCAGGAAGTATAAGCAGGAGTTTGTAAGATGGAGAGAAGAAGGGAAGGGAGGGCGTTCCTCACTCAGAGGATGGGAAATGGCTGGTTGGGGCTGGTGAGTATTTACGTGACCGTGAGGGGTGGGAGGCTGGCAGGGAAGGACGACATAGAAGGAAGACTTTCTGTGAGGCTGGAAGCCATGACAGTATCATTTTGTAATCTGCCAGAAGCGCCTCTGCCCTAGAAGCAGACAGAGCAACTAGAATGGCACAACCCACACCTGCAGACAGCATCTACAACAAAGTCAGGTCTCGAGGCCATTTGGTATCAACACCCGAAGTAGGAGGAAGCGGAGGAAGGCCCAAGAACAGAAGAACCCCAAGCTGCCAGGAGATACAAGAGACCAAAGCTGCAATACTGGGACCGAGCCCCCCGTGGAGGCAGACAGGAAGACTCCAAGATGACAAGGACAGGAACACTAGGAGCTGGGAAACAGGGGGTCCAGACAAAAAGCAGAGGGAAGAGGCAGACTCGGAAAGTATGAGGATGTTAGGAGGATACATCTATATAATCACTTCGTGAAAATGAAAGAGAGGAATCTAGAGCCACGAACCAAGAAATGATATTCTGACCCAGCCAGATGCTCAATAGCATCAGTCTTTAGGGAAATGCAAATCAAGACAGTAGTTAGATACTACTTCGCCTGTACTAAGATGGCTATAACTGTTTTCAAAATAGAAAATAGTGTGTGAGGATGTGCAGAAATTAGAACCCTCACACACTGCAGATCAGGGTCCAGAACAGAGTCCAGAAACAGACCCATACTTATGGAGCCAATCGACGCTGACAAGGGTCCAAAGGCAATTTCGTGGGCAAAGGACAAGTTTCTGAAATAAGCAGTGCTGGAAAAAATGGAAAAACAAAGGCAAAAACAACAACAACAAAAAAAAACTTCAATCGATACCTCACACTATATGCAAAAAATTAACTCAAAATGTATCACAGACCTAAAAGCAAAATATCGTAAGACTATAAAACTTCTGGAAAAAACATAGGAGAGAATCTAAGTGATCTTGTATCAGGCAAAGATTTCTTCTATGACACCATAAGCGTGAGCCATAAAATAAAATGAATAAATTAGATTTCATCAAAATTTTAAGGCAACTTTTTAAAAGAAATTGTTGGTAGAATGAAAAAACAAGCTACAGACTAGGAGCAAATGCAATTCTCACGTCTGATAGAGGACTCGTGTACAGATTAAAGAACTATGAAAACTCAGAAGAAAATAAAAAACCTAATTTTTACAAATAAGGAAAGTGATTTGGACATGTCACCAAAGAGCTATAGGGATAGCAAAAAGCACATCAAAATATGATCAGCATTACCAGTCATGAAAATGCAAATTAAAACCACGATAAGACATCACCACATACCTCTTAAAATGGCTAAGATTAAAAAGACTTTGTCTACCCATTTGGTATTTAGATTCTACATATGGGTGAAATGATATGGTGTTTGTTTTCCTCTGACCTATTTCGCTTAGCATAATAAATACCCTCTAGATCCATCCATGTTGTTGCAAATGGCAAGATTTCATTCTTTTTATGGCTGAGTAATATTCCATTGTGTGTGTGTGTGTGTGTGTGTGTGTGTGTGTGTGTGTATAACATCTTCTTTATCCATTCCTCTATCAATGAACACTTAGGTTGCTTATATTTTTGGCTACTGTAAATAATATTGCAATAAACATAGAGTGCTTACATTTTTTCAAATTAGTGTTTAGATTTTTTGTTTTATTTTAGAGAGAGAAAATGTGAGCAGGGAAGAGGGGCTGAGGGGGGTGAGAGATACTCTCAAGCAGGCTCCACACTCCATGCAGAGCCTGATGCAGGGCTTGATATCACAACTCTGGGATCACAACCTGGGCCAAAATCAAGAGTCAATGCTCAACTCACCAACCCAGGCGCCCCAACGTTTTCATTTTCTTTGGGTAAATACCTAGTAATGGGATTACTGGGTCATATGGTAGTTCTATTTTAATTTTTTAGGAACCTCTATACTGTTTTCCACAGTAGCTATACCAGTTTGCATTCCTATCAACAGTGAATGAGAGTCCTTTTTTCTCTACATCCTCACCAACATGTATTATTTCTTCAACAAACAGCATCAGACCTATATTTACAGAGAACAAACTGATGGCTGCCAGAGGGGGGTGGGGTGGAGGGATGGACAAAATGGGTAAAAGGGACTTCCAGGCTGTCAGTATGGGAATAAATAAGTCATAGGAACAAAAAGGCACAGCATAGGGAATATAGTCAGTGATATTATAATAGTGTTGTACAGTGACAAATTACACCTCCACATTTGCGGTGAGCAGAGCATAACAGAGATGTTGAATCACTGTCTTGAACACCTCAAGCTAATTTAACATTGCATGTTAACTCTACTCAAATTAAAAAAAATGTTAGAGAAACCGACAGCAACAAAAATGTAAGTAAAAAATAAAAGGACTGACCACGTGTTGCTAAGGAGAGAGAAAAACGGGAAGTCTCACATAAGTGATGGTGGTAATAGAACCATTACTTTGGAAAACAGTTTGACAATTTCTTCAAAAAGTATGATCTAGGGGGCGCCTGGGTGGCTTAGTCGGTTAAGCGTACAACTTCCGCTCAGGTCGTGATCTCACAGTTCTGAGTCCGAGCCCCGCATCAGGCTCTGTGCTGACAGCTCAGAGCCTGGAGCCTGCTTTGGGTTCTGTGTCTCCCTCTCTCTGTGCCCTTCCCCTGCTCGTGGTCTGTCTCTGTCTCTCTTTCAAAATATAAATAAACATTAAAAAAAATTTTTTTAAGTATGATCTACTACATGATGTGTACAATCCAGCCATTCCACTCATAGGCACTTACCCAGGAAAAATGGAAGCACAGCTACACACAAAGATTTGTACACAAATGTTCATAGCAGCTTTATTTGCAGTAGCCAAAATCTGCAAATAAATCAAATGTCCATCAAGAGATGAATGCGTACACAAATTCTGATTTCTCCATATAGTGGAGTGCCATGCAGAAGCAAAAAAGAATGAATTTCTGGCACACGTTAAATGTGTATGAATCTCAAAATAACTACGCTGTGTGAAAGAAGGTCACACCCGTACACACACACACACACATACACACACACAAGTACATTCTGTATGATCCCATTTATATAAAGTTCTGGAAAAAGATCAGTGATGAGGGTAGTAAGGGTAGTGGGAAGGAGAGATTACAAAAGGGGACAAGGAGACTTAAGGGGCTCCTTATCTTGATTGTGGTAATGATTTCATGGATATAAACATTTGTCAAAATTTATCAAATTGTATACATTAAAGAGGTATGTGGTGGTATATCATTTCAGATTTAATTTGCATTTCCCTAAAGACTAATGAGGCATTGGTAGGTATTTGATTATATAGCTCTGGAGGCCCTGAGAGAGAGCCGGGCTGGACTCATTTGGAGTCATTGTATTAGGATGGCTGAATCTGTAAATTAGAGTTGATCCTTCAGGGAGAACATGAGTCATGGGGAAGGACGAGACCTCAGGCCAAGGGACAAAGAAGTAAGCATTGTTCTGCGAGGAGGAATCCTAGGGCTTGTTGATATCAAGAAGGCAGCAATGGCTAAGACTTAGGAGAGATTTTTGGGGTAGGTGATGGTGAACCTACTTTCTGAGCCTTTGTTCTAAAGTCTAAAGGAGCTCTGAATCTCACTGGGGGAAAGCCCCATAAATAAGCTTTGAGACCTGGTGGGCTAGGCATTTTCCTGGGGCAAGTAACAGGTGGGGAACACTGACTGCTCACAAAGTTTATTTCCTGATCCCAGGGAACCCCGGCCAGGCAGTCTCTGAGAGCAAGACTTGCCATGACAAAATTCCCAGCAGGTATGAGGCAGCCCTTACCTTGTGCCCACTGAGGGATATGTAAGGGCTGGTACCCTTCTGAGAACAAGAACATGACTTTATTGGCTGTGGCCCCAAAGGCGATTCCATAAGACCATCGGTTACTAAAGGTGCCCACAAAGTCCAGAGGTCTGTGAACAAGAGAAACAGCTTGTGAGGCCAGAGAGTGGCTCATTCCCACCAATAGCCTCCAAAATAGCAACCCCACCCTGAGGCGGGATTATCGGGTAGCAAATTGTTCGTTTCAGCTGACATTGTCTGAGGCCCTCGGTGCCAATTCTAGGTGTAGGCATGGATTCAGGGTACTGAGGTGAGGAAGACAAAAAATCTTTGCCCTTGAGGAGCCTTAGGGGAAAGGGTGTGGGGAGGGGGACACAAGCAAGGACACCAATAGCCATGACAACAAAAAAAATGGGATGGGTTTCATTTATGAGAGACACAAGCAGTATGTCTTGAGAGATCAAAATGAGGAGTATGTCCTAGACAGGCTTGGGGAGCCTGCCCCATACCCGGCCCCTGTGAGAGTTCCAATATCCCTGGGAAGGTCTGGGACTCATTGGCTGTGCTGGTTCCACGCAAGCGTCCCTTCCTGGCCACAGCTGATTGGACCAGGGGTGACCACCTGACTTTGGATGAGCCAATCAGACGCCCGGTCTCATATAAGGGTTTCACACCCTGAGGACATGAGCCAGTTAGCTGTTAAAATTCTGTTCTGGAAAATCATGGCAAGTTGGAATCAGAGTCAGCGCTAGAGGCAAGTGGAGATTTTAGGGAAGCAGAAATCCTAAGTCATATTATAAAGTCAGACAGCAGAGAGGACAATAGTAAAGTGGTGCTGAGGGGCTCCTGTGACACAAGGAGGCACAAATAAAATCAGTCTCCCAGAGATGCCCATCTCAAAGTTCCAGTTACCATGAGGCCGGCCTTGCCAGTTTCTGTGAAATCTCTGTAACTTTACAAAAATCCTTTCTTTTCCTTTTACATAAACAAACTTTACAGGATAGCTGTTTCTTCTTCTGACCAAAATACTTTGTCTACATCAAAGTAAGCAATCCCATTTGGAAAGAAGAGAATACTTTCCCATTGAAATGCCATCTGATGTGGCTTTGATGAAAACTCAGGATGGCACTGGGGAGCTACACGTGGAGGTAGGGATCTGGAGGCAGGATCTGGATCTCACCTCATACCCCCTTAGTCTTGCTCATCTTCACTTTCAAGGCTCAGCTCAAGGAGCACCTCTTCCAGGAAGTCCCCGCCCCTGCCATTACTCTGACCACTTCCAGCAGGCCCACCTAGCTCCTGCCTTGCTGTGTCCCCCAAGCACTAAGTGGGCATGTCCGTGTTTTAGCATGCCCCTCTGCATTGTTGCTTGTCTAGGAAACTACAAGCTTCAAGGGGTGGGGACCTAGCACAGAGCCTTGAAAAGAGTAGGTGCTCACTGCATGTTCATGGACACCCATTTTGTTGAAGTGACCTGCATTCAATCAGTCCTCCCTGTAGTGCCTCAGAAATAAGTGAGACCGTTTACGTATCTTTAAACAGATGGCAAGCCCTGCTCTGCTCATGTCGCAGAGACACCATGGGCAGCAAATGAAGGGCTGCTTGACAAACGGTGGTATGCCACACACATGTGAGGGGCTTTTAATGAGTGAGGGGGGTGGGCTGGAACTACTCAGAAAAGCAGGGGTTTTGATGGGAAGGTGGCCAGGGAGCAAGCGAGTGGTGCCATTGTCAACTGAATTCAAAGCAGTTTGACATGACCCATACAGAACTCCCACTTCTTAAGAAGCTCTGCACCAGGCCCTGAAAGTCAAATGCCCAGGGCAGAGTCTGCCTCTGTGTCCCAACCAGTGTGGCTCAGACCTGGCAGTTTGGGAGAGGCTGACCCCTCCAACAGGTGATATCCAGGATGAGTCTGCTACTCAGAACTGGTACAGGCCGTCCCTGGACATTGCAGGTGGATTTGTCACCCTGAAGCCCTAGGTCACCGCTAGCCTTGGTCCTGACACCGTGGTTTCCTCTCCCCTCTCCAGAGCCCAAGGCTGAGACTTGAACAGGTTTACACACATGAGCCTGCTTAGGCTATTGTGCAGGGGAAATTAGAGTAAGTAGGAACCAGACCTCAGTTAAAGCTCTTGTCACCTATTAGCTGTGTGGACTTGGGCACGTCACTCAACCTCTCTGGGCCTGAGTTTGTTCATCCATTACATGAGGATAACAACCTCCAGCATTCTACGCTGGCAAGAGTGTTCATCCAAGTAATGCAGGCAAAGCAAATGGTCCAGTGCCTGGGTCACAGTCACCATGTGATAACTGCTATATGCATTATGATCATGATTATCATCAATCATTGAAAGTGAGGGGGCAGAGATATGAGCAATTAGAGCTTAAGAAAAAATGTGAGAAGGGGTGCAGAGACTCAGAATGGCAGAGCCAGAAACCAGCCCTGAAGGCACCTGGTCCAGCGGGACCTCCCGGTGCCATGCCAGCATGAACGTTTGCTGCTGCCAGTGGCCGACCGAGAAGTCTCTTCCTCCTGCTTCCTAAGGCAGCCATAGTGCTGACTTTGGGAAGGCCTTTTCCATAGTGAGCTGAACCTCCTTGAGACGTTTTAATCATATTTGGGCAGCCGTGGGTGCTGAGGCTGCAATGGCTTGGATGCCAATTCTGAACCCCCAGAGCTTGGTTGGGGTGAGGCAGGGAGGGGAAGGAGCGGTGGAGATGAGGCAAGGCTGGGGAGGTAATGGGGTGTTATCCTGGCCTTATAATAGGTGTTGGCCCCAAATACAGGGTGCCCCAAGCTGTAGAGATCAGCCTTAGCTCAACTCACATGATGATTCCAAAGCGGTTCCCCAGGAGGTGAGAAGTATCATCTCTCTGCTTACGGTGCTCTCGTCTTTGGAGAAAGGACAAGACCAAAATGATGAAAAGCTACAGGAAGAGAAGATGAGAACGTCAGTGGGCCCTCCCTGAAGGAGGATGTGTGGGTTAGCAGAGGGCTCAGAGTGTCTGTGGCTCCTCAGAGCCCAGAGTCAGGGAGCTAGCTGCACACGCCCTTGAGCTTCCAGAATGCTTTGTACTGAGCTTTCCTCTCTGTTGCCCTGAACAGGTTCAAATTTAGTCTCTCTCACATATTGACTAGAAGAGAGACCCAGCTTCTCCAAGCCTCAGTTTCCTCACCTGTGAAAAGGAGATAACTGTCACACTGCGAATCCTTCTTTCCTTTTTGCTTTTTGAGAATTCAATCATATTCTCAGTCACTTGATGCCCTTTTTCTCTTCCTTTTACTAGAAACTTCCTGAGAACTGTCTACACTTGCTGCCTCTATTTCCTCACCTCTCATTGCTCTTCAACCCCCTAACCTGGCTTCTCCTTCCCATCCATGGAAAGAGCTATGGCCAAAGTCAAAAACTACCATGAATCCACTGGAAACTTCAAGCCCAAATCTGGCTTGATCTCTCAGCCACATTCCAGTGTTGACCACTTCCTCCTCTGAGAAACACCCTGTTCCCTAGGCTTCCATCAACAGTGCTTTTCTGGGTTTTCTCCATTACCTCTCAGTCTCCTCTGCTGGATTATTCTTTATTCCACCACTAAAGTCAGGATTTCCTCATCATTCAGTCCAAGGATCACTCCTCTTATTAGCAGATCCTCTCACCCATGTCCATGCTTTCAATGGCCACCAATGCCCACAAGACTCAGCTTGACTCTTCAGCCCAGACCTTGTCCATGAGCTCCCCAACTATTCATCTAACTATAGAGTTGGCACTTCTTAAATTCAGTATGTCTTAAATGGAACTCACGATTTGCCTCCCTGCCCTGTCTTCATCCACCCCAAACCCAGATCTCTTCTGGTTCTCCTTAACTAGTGAATGACAGACACCGCCATCCTTCTGGCCATGCACGTTAGAAACCCACGTTGTCCTCAACCCCTCCTCTCCCTAACTACTCTATCCAATGCATTAGCTAGTCCTACTGTCTTACTCCCAAACATCTTGAGCTGACCACCACCCATCCAGGATGAGCTAAAATCTGAACCATCTCCTCTCTGGCCCACCTCCACCTTGATCCCCACAATGCAACAAGAGTGATCATTTCAAAACAGAATACTAATCACATAAGCTCCACGCTGGAAAACTCCAGTTACTTCCCACTGCACTTAGAATGCAGATACCACTCCTTCACAAAGAGCCCCAGAGGGCTCCACCTGGCCCAGGCCCACTCACCTCCCAGAAAACTCTACCTCAGCTCTCCACTCCAGCCATGCCAGCCCTCTCGGCTCCTCACACTCTCTGTTCCCCTCCTCCACAGGGCCTTTGCACATGCTCTCCTCTCTGCTTGAAAGGCTCTTGACTACATCTTCCAACAGACCTCAGCTGTCATTGCTTCCTTAGAAGAGCCTTTTTTGAATCCCTAAAAAACCAGTGTCCTTGACTCTTCAGCCGTTAAAAGCCTTCCTCTGCCTGTTTTTTGGTGCATAATATAAGAAAGCAAGTCAAGGAAATTCAGTTGATGTCTCTCTGCTGACCTATTCAGGCCCTTTGGGGAACCTGTGTATGGGAGGGACCCAATTCCCCTCCTCTCTGCTCCTTGCTCTCCTCTGCCTTTACTTACTGATGGGATGAGGGAGTAATGGAGGAAGAGCTCCATGTCCACTGAGCTGACACAGGTGCCATTTAGCTGCCTGGTTCTGAAAAACAGCCAAAAAACACATTCACATCATCAGTCACTGCTGCAGGCATTGACCCATCAGCACTGAGCATCACTGTCAGGAGTTCAGCTTATTCACCACTAAGATCATCTTATCTTGTTTTTTCAAAGAGAGAGAGACAGAGACAGAGAGAGAGGCGAAGGGAGAAGGGGGAGGGCCAGACAGAGAGGGAGAGAGAGAATCCTGACACAGGGCTCGATCTCACAACCCTGGGATCACAACCTGAGCTGAAATCAAGAGTCAGATGCTCAACTGACTGAGCTACCCAGGCACCCCAATCATCTAATCTTTTTATTTGTTATTTTATTTTTTAATTTTTATTTATTTTCGAGAGACAGAGAGAGAGAGGAGACAACAAGTGGGGGAGGGGCAGGGAGAGAGGGAGACACAGAATCCGAAGCAGGCTTCAAAGTTGGACACTCAACTGACTGAGCCACCCAGGCACCAGGAACAAAAAGGCTTCTATTTTATTAAAAGTACTTTGAGGGGCGCCTGGGTGGCGCAGTCGGTTAAGCGTCCGACTTCAGCCAGGTCACGATCTCACGGTCCGTGAGTTCGAGCCCCGCGTCAGGCTCTGGGCTGATGGCTCGGAGCCTGGAGCCTGTTTCCGATTCTGTGTCTCCCTCTCTCTCTGCCCCTCCCCCGTTCATGCTCTGTCTCTGTCTGTCCCATAAATAAATAAAAACGTTGAAAAAAAAAATTAAAAAAAAAAAAATAAATAAAAGTACTTTGATCAATCACATGATCATGCACTATGCAACCAGTATCAGTTTGAGAACATTGACTCAGTGCCTAGTAAACTCTGTTCTTGCTGCTCAGACTCCAATACACCCTGTCTACATGCTCACCGGGACCTGCAGACCTGTGCTGACTCTGTCTCCCACCCCTGCAGCACATCGGCCATCTCCCAGGCCCCATTCCCCTGCCAGCTCCTGCCTTTCCCTCAGAAGTCTCAGGGAAGACCACTCCTCTGGGGAACCCGTGAGCAGGGCACACCCCCACGCCGGAGTTCTTTTAAAACCCCAGTATTCCCCAGTTATGTCTAACCATAGGTCTGAAAGACCCTAGAAGCAGTGGAGAAGGTGCAGGAACTCAGGCCATCAGAAATGTGATAGAACTGTAAAGCTCACACTTCTGCTTTTAGGAAGGTACACTGAGAACATGCATCAGTCTCCCCATCCTATATGAAACCCTCAAAATGATAAAGATGTTATTTTTTATTTTTTTTAAGTTTATTTTGAGAGAGAGAGAGAAAAAACACATGAGTGGGGAGAGGCAGAGAGAGAGGGAGAGAGAGAATCCCAAGCAGGCTCCATACTGCCAGCACAGAGCCTGATGCGGGGCTTGAACCCATGAACCGTGAGATCATGATCTCAGCTGAAATCGATAGTCAGAAGCCCAAATGACTGGGCCACCCAGGTGCCCCAAGATGTTATTTTTTTTTTAAAAAAAGAAAGAAAACAGAGATTTTGAAAGCAAGAAGGGTATCTATTGGGGGCACAGAAACTATGGGAAGACCCCGAATGATGGAGAGCAACTGGGACTAAAACAAAGAGAAAAAGAGTGAGTCAATGAGGCCACAGACTGTGGGGCCACACAACGAAAGGTTCTACACTCACAGTGTAACAGGACAGGGTTGTCAGCAGCCCACGGAATGATGAACTGGGGTCTCACAGAGACCCAACTGTCTTCCCACCCCTGCTGACCAGTCAGAGGCAATGGGTGTTGTCCCCAAGAGTAGTGTATATGTGTCAGAGGTGGGGGGCAGTGCTCTGGATCACAGATGGTCCTGCAAGGGACCAGAAGCTTCAGCTTCCAGACAGCCCCTGAGGCACCCCACCTAGCGGTACCACCTCCATCCCACTGCCCTGACAGCAGTCTTAGGACTAGCCACCCTCCACAAAGCGGGTACCCCAGTGGCCAGCTCAGTCACAAAGATGAGCACACAATCAAGAGCCATCAAACATTTGAGGAAAGATAACACCACAAAAGGGAGTCAAAAATTCAAGAAAGAGGAACTTATCCCTGAGGAGATGAAGTTAATATGGAACCTCTCTGAGGTCATTGCTACAGGAAATCCTGTAGAAGCATAAATCTAGGAGCGCCTGGGTGGCTCAGTTGGTTAAGATGGGACCCTTGATTTCGGCTCAGGTCATGATTCCAATATCATGGGATCGAGCCCTGTATTGGGCTCTGCGTTGAGTGTGGAGCCTGCTTGAGATTCTCTCTCTCTCTCTCTCTCCCCCTTTGCCCCTCTCTCCCACTTGTGCTCTCTCTCTCTCTCTCAAAATTAATTAAAATTAAAAAAAATTTTTAAAAAGAAGCATAAATCTAGGAGGAAATAGAGGGGTGCAAAAAGCAATAGCAGGCAAAAAAAAAAAAAATCCCTGAGCACAGGATTCTAAGTAAATATACATTTAATATATAATATATATATAAGATATATATCTTATATATATATATAAGATATATAATAAATATATATCTTTACACATAGATAACATTCTTAGACACACAAGGACTCAAAAGACCTTCTCTGGAAAAAAACAATGGAGGAAATTCTCAAGAAATAAGAAAGAGGACTCTACAACCGAAGCTGGAGGCATCGCAATCCCAGACTTCAAGATGTATTACAAAGCTGTAATCATCAAGACAGTATGGTACTGGCACAAAAAGAGACACTCAGATCAATGGAACAGAATAGAGATCCCAGAATGGACCCACAAACGTATGGCCAACTAATCTTTAACAAAGCAGGAAAGAATATACAATGGAACAAAGACAGTCTCTTCAGCAAATGGTGCTGGAAAAACTGGACAGCGACATGCATAAGAATGAATCTGAACCACTTTCTTACACCATACACAAAAATAAACTCAAAATGGATGAAAGACCTCAATGTAAGACAGGAAGCCATCAAAATCCTCAAAGAGAAAGCAGGCAAAAAACCTCTTTGACCTCAGCCAAAGCAACTTCTTACTCAACACGTCTCTGGAGGCAAGGGGAAAAAAAAGCAAAAATGAACTACTGGGACCTCATCAAAATAAAAACCTTCTGCACAGCAAAGAAAACAATCAGCAAAACTAAAAGGCAACTGACAGAATGGGAGAAGATATTTGCAAATGACATATAAGATAAAGGGCTAGTATCCAAAAGCTATAAAGAACTTACCAAACTCAACACCCAAAAAAAAATAATCCAGTGAAGAAATGGGCAAAAGACATGAATAGACACTTTTGCAAAGAAGACATTCAGATGGCAAGCCAACACATGAAAAAATGCTCAACATCACTCATCATCAGGGAAATACAGATCAAAACCACAATGAGATACCACCTCACACCTGTCAGAATGGCTAACATTAACAACTCAGGCAACAACAGATGTTGGTGAGGATGAGGAGAAAGAGGATCTCTCTTGCATTGCTGGTGGGAATGCAAACTGGTATAGCCACTCTGGAAAACAGTATGGCAGTTCATCAAAAAACTAAAAATAGAACTACCCTATGACCCAGCAATTGCACTATGAGGTATTTATCCAAGAGATACAGGTGTGCTGTTTCGAAGGGACACATGCACCCCATGTATATTTTTTTATTTTATTTTTTTTTCAACGTTTATTTATTTTTGGGACAGAGAGAGACAGAGCATGAACAGGGGAGGGGCAGAGAGAGAGGGAGACACAGAATCGGAAACAGGCTCCAGGCTCTGAGCCGTCAGCCCAGAACCTGATGCGGGGCTCGAACTCACGGACCGCAAGATCGTGACCTGGCTGAAGTCGGACGCTCAACCGACTGCGCCACCCAGGCGCCCCTGCACCCCATGTTTATAGCAGCACTATCAACAATAGCCAAATTATGGAAAGAGCCCAAATGTCCATCGACAGATGAATGAATAAAGAAGATGTGGTATATATTACTCAGCAATCAAAAAGAATGAAATCTTACCGTTTGCAACTATGTGGATGGAACTGGAGGGTATTATGCTAAATAAAATTAGTCAGTCAGAAAAAGACAAATGTCATACGACCTCACTCATATGAGGAATTTAAGATACAAAACAGATGAACATAAGGGAAGGGAAGCAAATATAATATAAAAACGGGGGGGGGGACAAAACATAAGAGACTCTTAAATATAGAGAACAAACAGAGGGTTGCTAGAGGGGCTGTGGGAGGGGGGGATGGACTAAATGGGTAAGGGGCTTAAGGAATCTACTCCTGAAATCATTGTTGCACCATATGCTAACTAACTTGGATGTAAGTTTAAAAAATTAATTAATTAATTAATTTTTAAAAAAGAAAGAAAGAAAGGAGTCTAGGAAGAAGAAGGATATAAAGGCAACAGCCAACACAGAAATGAGTAAAATATCTTGTTAAATATCTAGGTAAGTAGTTATTGTGAAACAAAATGTGTGAAATGCCAATTTGGAGGTAAAATCCCATGGGGGAAGGGGCGAGCTGAGGCCAGGTGTGGATGCAGAGAGAACAGCAGGATCACATTCTCCTGTTTAGCAGGATGATGGAGAAACCTGTTTTCTCTTTCTGGGCTTTATAAGAAAAATGCAGTTCTAGGTAAGTATGTTAAAAGTACACAGGGAATTGCCGGAGGAATACAAATACATTGTAAAACGTACATTAAAGAGTATCTATGAAAAAAAGAAAATTCAATCGCTCCAACAAACTACAGGAAGAGAAAAAAATAAAATTGAGACTAGAAGAGAAACACCACAAGAACAAAAATTTTCAAAGAATAGTAAGCCACTAACAAAGAAGAGATACAAATGCGTGATAAATTCTTGGGGCGCCTGGGTGGCTCAGTCCGTTAAGCAGCCGACTTCAGCTCAGGTCACGATCTAACGGTCTGTGAGTTTGAGCCCCGCGTCGGGCTCTGGGCTGATGGCTCAGAGCCTGGAGCCTGTTTCAGATTCTGTGTCTCCCTCTCTCTCTGCCCCTCCCCTGTTCATGCTCTGTCTCTCTCT